GAGCAGCTGCTCCTCTAGGAGGGTGACTGTGAGCTCAGTGGGACAGCGAGCAAGGAAGTGGTCTCGAACTGAGCTGAGGGTGTCAGGGAGACGGGTGACTATGAAGTGGAGTGTCCAGTACAGTGGAGGGGGGTTCTTAGCGCAGAACTCGGTGGGAAGGGCGGCACGTAGGCGAGCATCACTAGTGCGAAGGTGGGTGATAAGATCGGCGACTGTAGCAAAGGTGGACAGATCGGGGAACAGGTACGGCAGCATGAGGCGGCTAAGCTCGGCTGTGGCAGGCGAGGAGTAGCGAGCAACGACAGCATCGTACAGGGCCTTAGCGGATTTGCAGTCGCCAAAATGCTCGAGCTCAGCTAGCGGCAGGTGACTGCGAATGGCTAGGCGAGCAGCTGCGTCACGAGTCTGCCAGTGGGAACGAACACTAAGCTCGGCTGTGGCAGCAGGAGCAGCGGCAGCACCAGACGCGTAGTCATAGAGGGAGATGTGGTCCGTGCTATTGCTCATAAGATACAACTGCAGGTCGTCGAGCCAGGAAGTGAACTGCACGGGACGGCCCTCAGCATCGAAGGAAAGAACGCGAATAGAGGCCATAGCTCAGGCGTGAGGGCACAGCAGAGCAGCGGCAGCAGCAGAGGGGACGCGCTAGAGCGAAGCTAGCAGCCACAGCAGGAGCAAGCGGCGGTGCACAGGCAGGGAGCAGCAGGCGAGGCGGGCGGCGCTGCAGGCGGGAAGTGCGGCGGGCGGGCTGCGAAGCGGGCAGCGGGGCGGGCGGGCGACGCGGCGAGCGGGCTGCGAAGCGGGCAGCGGGGCGGGCGGGCGACGCGGCGAGCGGGCAGCGCGGCGGGCGGCTGCGAAGCGGGCAGCGGGCGGGCGGGCGACGCTGCAAGCGGGCAGCGGGCGGGCGGGCGACGCTGCAAGCGGGCAGCGAGGCGGGAGGGCGACGCTGCGAGCGGGCAGCGGGCGGGCGGGCGACGCTGCGAGCGGGCAGCGAGCGAGCGGGCGACGCTGCGAAGCGGGCAGCGGGCGGGCGGGCGACGCTGCGAGCGGGCAGCAAGCGGGCGGGCGACGCTGCGAAGCAGGTAGCGGGCGGGCGGGCGGCGCTGCGAGCGGGCAGCGAAGCGGGCGGGCCGCGAAGCGGGCAGCGAGCGGGCGGGCGGGCTGCGAAGCGGGCAGCGGGGCGAGCGGGCTGCGAAGCGGGCAGCGGGGCGAGCGGGCTGCGAAGCGGGCAGCGGGGCGAGCGGGCTGCGAAGCGGGCAGCGGGGCGAGCGGGCGACGCTGCGAGCAGGCAGCGCGGCGGGCGAGGGGCGAGCGGGCAGCGTGGCGGGCGGGCGACGCTGCGAGGGGCGCGCGAGGGCGCTAGCGAGGGGCGCGTGAGGGCGCTAACGAGGGGCGCGCGAGGGCGCTAACGAGGGTGCGCGAGGGCGCTAACGAGGGGCGCGCGAGGGCGCTAACGAGGGGCGCGCGAGGGCGCTAACGAGGGCGCACGAGGGCGCTACGAGGCTAGGGCACGGGGTAGCGTGGTAACCGCATGCGAGCGGTGGTGGGCCCTTAAAAAAAAACGGTCGGTAGGTCCTAGGGACCTCCTGCTCTGAATACCATCTCAGAATAACTAGCCAAGAATGAATGAACTAGCAGAAGTTTGGGTACAAATATGAAACCCTAGTTGAGGTTGTACCCCATATTGGCTACCCCACTACAGCCTACAAGCATAATACAGTTTAACATATATAACCCCCTAAAACGGGTCGAGCACTTTCTTGTAACCCGCTAAGCTAACCTCAAGCAGATCATCACAGGATGGATTTCCAAAGTTTGAATTTGTGACTTGAAAGTTAAGACAACAGCACAAAAGTCGAACATGTTTGTGAACGTACGGGTGCATAAGCATTTGAACGTAATCACTTTTCACCACGTTCAACGAATGTGTGATATTTGCGAGTTAAATGACATCCACAGTATTTATTATGAAAACAATGTCAGAGTCACGCAAATTGCACCGAGTAACATTCTACGTAATGGATAACGCGGCATTTGTGTGTATTACGACAATTGGCCCACAAAACATTTTTATAACTCGTTGTGAATTATCTTGTGATAGCTGGGCTAACAATGCAACTTCTTGCCTGCGGAGATTTACTCTACACTGGGAGCTGGAATACGGGGGAAAGCACGGGTCATAGGAGTGATCATAGCGTTCCTTAACGTTCTCTAGCACTTGTGCGTTCACGAAGCAATTTGGGAGGAGTTTCACTAAGGAAAGTTTGATATAGAATGGCAAAAATGACTGCATCAGAGCCTAGCAACCTTGCAGGCGAGCTGGTCTAACACCAGCGTAGTACGGTAGACGATCCGCCAACATTGCATAGAGACACCTCATTAGCGCCCCAGAAGAGTGCCTTCCAACAGAGCAAGTCCGCGGATCGCCAATGCTGCTGCAGAGCAGCGTGTCAGCGTTGCATCCGCAGATGATAGTAGTGCGTGTGCGCGCAGATGGTCGAGCACAACGTGCACCGTCGTGCAGAACCCAAGTCGGCCACGTGCTGACAATTGCGTTAGAAGCTCCACGTCGACCTCGGGATACCAGCCTGAGGTCGCCTTTACCATCGCAACCTCGACGACGTCCGCGCACCCTCGCAGAACCTTGTCGAGGAGGTAATCGAGTCGACCGGGTCAACCACCCGACACCTTGATCGACGACCTCCCTCGTCAACCACAGCTCCTGTAGAAAAGCACCATGGTCGACGGACCCCTCCGTCGACCGCCTCGGCCAGCTACTGCCGTCGAGCTTCATCTTCGACAGCTCTTCGACATACCAGCGCAGGTCGACGAGCACCTTCATCGACCTCCCCTGTCGAACTAGACCGCTAGCTCTCATCGACGGCGCCATCGCTGCGATTGCCCACAGGTCTATCACTTGTCGACCAGCACGCACCAGTTGGCGTCGACCTCTACGCAAGGTCGGCCGCACCTCCCACGCACCCAACCACATAGTCAGCTTCGCCCAAGCGGGAGTGGGGCCAACAATTTATTCCCGTCAACACTGCCGTGGCAGCTCAGGAGCTTCATTGGCTGACTTTTCTTGCTCATCAACCTGGTTGAGCAACATGGCTATGATCCTCCTGTGTCGAGATCCTCGACCGGAGACTAGAGTGCAGCACATCGAACTGCAGCACTTCTTAGTGCGCAAGTTGCAATAATCTCTGCAATCAGACACGCTTGGTCTTTGTGGCCTCGACAGCCAACACTTGGGACATTTTCACCAAGGCCCTTACGTCTGTTAGCTTGGCCATGCGAAGACATTTCCTCGTTTGTTGTAAACTCGTGTCTTGCTACTTGGTCTGCTTGTCGTTGTTGTTTATGCGCATTCATGTATATATATGCATAAATATATATATATATACATGGAAATAAATACAAGCAAATGCTTGAACTTGCATTGTGACCATTTGTCCTAGAGACTAGTTAGTCGTACCACCCTGAGTTGTATCTCTTGCTTTGTTGTTTTTGTTGACTGATCCTGTAATACAAGGACCACCTATCTTAGTAGCTGTATTAGTTGATCCGCCCTGAGTTTTCGCTTGTCTTGCTCCTTCGATGCCCCTCACCTAGCATATGGGGCTATATTAGATTAAAATAACTGAAAAAAACATCTGTGAAAAAAACATGGTAGGCTATAGTGAGGTGCTATCTAGAGGGTACAACTCATTAAAATTTTATAATTGTGTCTCACTCTTCTTAGTTATTCTCAACCCAATCTGCATACACACCTTTCATTTTTTTGGCCTGGTCGGCAAGGTGATGTGCGAGTGAAGCCGGACAGGGGGTAGTGATAAGGAAGGTCATTGGTCGTTCTACTTTGCTATACACATTGATAAGCCCGAGGTGGAGGAATGTCTTAGATGCACTCGATATTCCTCATAGGGTGGGGCCTGATTTGTTATGTAGAGTATTTGTGCATACTTGTTAACGAATATCTAGAAGACAAATGGTGTAGCACAATCGTTCGATTCACCATTGCTGACACCAGAAAAATGTCAGAGGTTTGTCCGAATCGCGATGCCCAACGGGTCGCGAAGTTCTTTGTATCCTCCCTAAGTTCCCGCTCTCCTCCCCACGGGCTGCAAGGCGCATCGAAATGTGGGCAGGCGCAACAACTCCTCATCCTGATACTTTCTGGGCGCACGCGTAGCGAGCAAGAAGCAGCAGGTGGGTAAATTCAAAATGCAGTTTTGCGAAGTGACGAGATTTCGCGAAAGCTGTAACATTCTTGTTACAACACCCCTTCAAGTCTTCCCCGACCCGCAATAGTCCAGCCAAAAACATCGCCAAGGCTGCATTCATACCGTGCGACCCATCCCAACCAAATCATTTCATTTCGTTTCCACAAGCGCAGGTCTAGTACAGTACAGCACATCCCGCCCGATCGGACCCACTTTCCCGTTCACGTTTCGGTATTTCCTTCCCCCAACCGGCCCGTTGGTGTCACCACACCACTGCTATCACCCCAATACAAACACCACTCACACCCCAGCGGAGGGAGCGGCAGACAACAGCGATATTTTCGGTTCGCTTTATACCCCTTGCCAAATAGCATCCACCAGAGCATGAATCTTCGGGTCGTGTCTCAGCATTCACCCAACATTGCTCTGTAGGAACTCCGCACCTCAACGCACCGCTTACGAAGAGCAGCAGCAGCAGCAGCAGCAGCGATGTCGTTCCGAGCGCCGCTGCTCAGCAGCACGGCAGCGAGGAACAAGCCGTCCGTTTTTCAGCTCTCCGTCAAATACTCCGCAGCTGGCGGCAACTCCGCGCCGCCAATCAGTCCCTACGGAAAGGGCAAGAAACAGAACTGGTTAAGATGCGGTTCGTTCTTCTGGGAATGCTTAGGAGGAAAGCCCATGCTGCTCATGATGCTGATAACCGCCTGCGTCGCGGGTCACGTCGCTATTAGCAGGGGCCGCCAGTCAGCCTGGACGCGACTCGCCAGCGAGCCGCAGATGATTCTTGCCGGCCAGAAATCCCACGTCGCAGAAGCACTGTCCGGAGATTCTTTAAGCGTTCGCGTCTCGGAGGATTTGAAAGTGCGCGACTCGAGCATCGGTAGCACCGTCACTACGAGCAGCGTTGTCGGCGGTGCGGAGTTGAAGGGACAGAGCACGGAAAACGACGAAGTTCATTCCGCATCTTCCGCCGCAGCAGTCGACGATGCACTCGAACGACAAGCATCGGATGAAAGCGCGGCGTATTCCACGCCGCAAATCCAGGCGGAGGCCGCGGGAATCGAGGAGCCTCAGCAAGCGGGTCTAGCCGCGGCGCAGCAGCAGGCGGAGGCGGAAAAGCAACGGTACTACATGGTCGTTGGCGGGAACAACACGTGTATCGAGGAGGACGAGTGGAAATGGAGCTTCCTGTGCGCCGCGGCGGAGGCGAAGGCGTTAAACCGCGTGCTGGTCACCCAGCTCATGTACTGCTTCCCCGGAAGAGACGGCAACCTCGTCGAGAGGCCCATGGCGCTTTACTACGACATGGACAAGATGAAAAGGTGAGGAGCGGGAAAGACGGGGGAACGGATGGATGCGGGCGAGAGAGGGGTTTGCGGGTTGCTCTGGGTCTCTGTTTGGGAATTGCGGGCCGTGGCGCTGTGCTACAGTATGAAGAGGAATGGCAACGCAAGGAACGGGAATAAGAGGATGTCTGGGGAGACGGGGATGAGAATAAGAGGTTCAGGATACGTTGGGGACATTTGGGAGCCCGCCGACTGCTCATCCTCTTCCCTTCTCCCGCTCTTCTAAACTCCATGTTCTTCTCCTTCCCCTGTCGTCCCCTGGGCATCTCTCCAAACCACTCGTCCCCCGTCTCCCTCCATTTCCCTCCACCCTTCGCGCCCCGCCCCGCCTTGCCCATTCAGCATTCAGCCGCTCATCAGCGATCTGGAATTCGACCTGCGATTGGGCGACTGGCGCTCCGCCGCGTTCCGCAAGCGGTACACGGTGCGCGAGTTCGGACCGCACGAGCCCACCAGCGACGTGCGCGCCGAAGCGGGCGACGCGCACCTGGTCGTGCGCGTTCTGCAAGAGAGCCAGCGCGCCGCGCGGATCTGCAAAGGCGAGGTATGCGAGCAGACGGATCGCATCATGTGCTAGTTGATGATTCACTGTCCTTCGCGGCCAACCTAGTAGACCGGGGATAAGTTTTTAAGGAACCTCGTCCGCGGAAATAGATTGAAGTGTTTCACCTTTCTAAAGTTCTGCACTTATTTTTTGTTGTTTTCTTTCGGAATTCTCGAGACTCCAGCTGCATCAGCGAGGCTCCCTGTCCCTTTCGCTCATCATTGCGCCCTTGCCAACCCGCCCTTGCCAACCCGCCCTTGCGAATCCGGGTGGCAGGACACGTTAGTGCGCAACGAGAAGCTGGTGCAGGAGCGCAAGGAGCTCAAGGCGCTGAGCGCAGCCATAGCGGCTTCCATGGGCGGTGACTACGACGCGGTGTTTGTAAAGAGGCCCAAGAAGAAGAGCCTGTGGACGGGATGGTCCAACGTGGACAGGCTCACACGCCCCGCCGCGTGAGTGGGTGTGCCTCCTGTGCTGCTGCTGCTGCTGCTGCTGCTGCCGCTGCCGCTGCCGCTGCCGCTGCCGCTGCCGCTGCCGCTGCTGCTGCTGCTGCAGCTGCTGCTGCTGCTGCTGCTGCTGGCTGCTGCTGCTGCTGCTGCTGCTGCTGCTGCTGCTGCTGCTGCTGCTGCTGCTGCTGCTGCTGCTGCTGCTGCTGCTGCTGCTGCTGCTGCTGCTGCTGCTGCTGCTGCTGCTGCTGCTGCTGCTGCTGCTGCTGCTGCTGCTGCTGCTGCTGCTGCTGCTGCTGGGCGTATGCTGTACCGGTGCTCGCATTGAGGAGGGTGCCATTGTTTCAGAGAGATCCCTTCTTTTCCCCCCTCTTTTCCAACCCTCTTGCTTTCCAGGCTGGTGAAGTCTCTTCCCCGCTTCATCCCCAAGGGGCGCCACGTGTACATAGCGTCGAACGAGCGCACGCCGGGCTTCTTCAGCCCGCTCGCCTCGCTCTACAAGATCCACGTGCTCTCCGACTACCGCCACCTCTGGGCGCCGGGCAGTGACTGGTACAATGACTACAGGGATGTGCTCGCTGCGCTGAGGATGAGAGGCGCTGACCCTCAGTTTGATATGCACATGAAGGTGAGAGCGAGGGTGACTATGGGCTTGGAGGTTTCATGGAGAGACGAATGGTGGGATGGGGAAAGTGATGGAGAGACGGATGGTGGGATGGGGAAAGTGTGGCTGTTGTGAGATGTGGTTGATTGTGGGGTTGCAGCTTGACATATGGATGGAAGTGGATGAGGTGAGGACTGAAAACCGACCATCATGATTTTTTCTTTGTGGTGTTTTTTGTTGCATTCTTGTGCCTTACATCTCTCTTTGTTTGCATGTCTCATGTGTTGTGTTGTCAACAGAGGATTGTGGACCGCCTTGTCATGAGGAGTGCGTCAATGAAGGTGGATACTTTCAAGGACATTGTGCCCCACAACCTCTCTTAAATCCTTTCCCGTTTCCCAGTCTCACACACACACACACCTCCTCATAGCGTTGAGCTTGAGTGACAGGAGTTTGAAAATTGAGTGAATTGAAATAGTCCATCTGCTTTGCATGCTAGATCTATAGATTGATCACTTCAGACTAAGCTAGTTGTTTATTTTCAGCTTTTCAAATGTTTATGCTGTATGCAGTGAATAAACTTCGAAACACTTCTGACTAAACTTCGCCTGATGGAAGAGGGTGGGGGGGTAATATCGGCAAATTAGGGTGCCACGTCTTCGCTAGAAAGCCCTCTCTCCGCCGAGCTGGCAGGCGTCATGTCATGTGTGCCTTCGCGACGCGACGCATGAAGAGCACGCGACACGGGTCGCGTCTCGAGCACGTCGAAATTTCGAATTTCAATCACCCTACATGTCCATCCACATTCCTGCAAGACACCTACGGTAGTTGTTCCCCATTTCAGCCTCCAAGAACGGAAGAAAGAGGAGAAAAACAACTTGATATCAAGCCACAGAAACCACTGAAGCGACGGAAGCCACAGAATAGCTGCATGATTTTGTTCGGCCATTATCGACTCCCCATATTGTTCCGCAACTGGCGACTCGTTTAAGATCGCCCTAAGTTTCCTTATCCCTGGTGGCCCAAACTGTTGGTTGTTCCAAGTTGCTTTTCTTTCCGACATTGATTTTACTTGCGTTGTTGGAAACCTCAATACTGAAGGCATTCGTCAGATCTGGCCTTGCCTTTCTAAGATCGTTGCCAATATGCCAGCCAACGCAGCGCAAGCAGGGGGAGGCGCAGCGGGCGGGAGAGCAGGTGGGGCCGCAGGTGGGTCTGCTAGTGGGGCGACAGGAGGGGGAGCATCTGGAGCTAGTAGCCCGGCGGCTTCACCAGGAAGCACTCATTCGCCGATCCGCGATGCGGCGAGCGGGCAGATCAAGGGCATGGAAAGCTTTGCGGAGCGAAAGGCGAGCCGCGGGCGGTTCATTGTAATCTCGCTGATCGCAGCAACGGCCGCCGCGGCGTGGATAACTAACTACACGGCGAATTCGCGAGGCCAGCCCGTTCCCACGGTGCCTAAAGAGAAGGATAAGGATCAGACGCATCATCCGGAGGGGCCGGTGATTAAGAACGCGCCGAAGCACATAGTGGCGGGTCCTGGCGTCACAGGGCATAACGAGGCGCTGAAAGGAGCCTTTCTGAGTCGATCGATCTCTCCAGGGACAGGGGTTGATTGGTTTACCGTGTGGTAACCAGGTGACAGAGAAGTGGACCACAGGTGGTGGGATGTAGGGTTGAGTGGAAGAGGGGGAGTAGGGTGATTGTGAATCTGAGAAATGGGATACGGAAAGCTGGGTGGACTAGTCACACTGCAAAACTAGGTGGTGGTCTAGTTGGTTGTTGGTTGCCTTGAGAGTTTTGGGCTGGAGAAATGAGAATCACGTTCTGGTGATACACTTGCGGGTGTAAGTATTCTTCTGGTGAAAGAATGTTGTAATGAATGCATGTACATATGTACGGGGTGATTGGTGGTGAAGTTACCGGTTACTGTGGGTAACTGTGACAATGTCCGTCCATGAACTGTGATTCTGGGATAGGTGAACCGTGTGAGGCATGTATGGTAGCATTGTTCTTCTTGCAATAGATGATGTTGACAGGAAGGCACAAAACAAGTCAGATATTCAGAAACAATAAATTGAATAGAGTATGAATCTTTATGCATGCCGAATAACAATAGCATAATACAGCTTGTTCCAAAACATGTTACGCTTCAAGTCCCTATTGATTTGCTGAATCGCTATGTTGCTCCACAGGATAACCTGAGGTTGAAGAGAGGTGTACATGAGTTGGAGAAAGATTCGGGGAAGCGGGGAGAGACGAGGAAAGATACAAGGAAATGGGAAGGGATAAGATGGGGGAAAGATACAAGGAAATTGGAAGGGATGGGATGGGGGAAAGATACATGGAAATGGGAAGGGATGGGATGGGGGAAAGATACAAGGAAATGGGAAGGGATGGGATGGGGGAAAGATACAAGGAAATGGGAAGGGATGGGATGGGGGAAAGATACAAGGAATGAATGGGAAGGCGGTAACGGAAAGAGCAGCAGGAAGGGAAGAGGCGAGGAGAGTGGAGAAAGAAAAAGGGCGGGCCGCAGGCACGAGAAGAGAAGAGAAGTGAGGCGAGAAGGAAAGGGACGTTGATGCACAATTGAGTAGACGGAGTATCAGATAAGAGGGAGGAACGGAGAGAGGAGGCGTTTGCTGGATGGTGGCTACAAAGGAGGCTGTTACGGGGAGAGGTTAATGGGACAGGCGGGTACGGGGGAGGTGGCTACAGGGAAAGCGGTGATAGGAGAGGTGGTTACAGGGGAGGAAGGTACAGGGGAGGCAGTTACAGGGGAGGCGGGTACAGGGGAGGCGGGAACAGGGGAGGCGGGAACAGGGGAGGGGCGTACAGGGGAGGCGGGTACAGGGGAGGCGGGTACAGGGGAGGCGGGTACAGGGGAGGCGGGTACAGGGGAGGCGGGTACAGGGGAGGCGGGTACAGGGGAGGCGGGTACAGGGGAGGCGGGTACAGGGGAGGCGGGTACAGGGGAGGCGGGAACAGGGGAGGCGGGTACAGGGGAGGCGGGTACAGGGGAGGCGGGTACAGGGGAGGCGGGTACAGGGGAGGCGGGAACAGGGGAGGCGGGTACAGGGGAGGCGGGTACAGGGGAGGCGGGTACAGGGGAGGCGGGTACAGGGGAGGCGGGTACAGGGGAGGCGGGTACAGGGAGGCGGGTACAGGGGAGGCGTGTACAGGGGAGGCGGGTACAGGGGAGGCGGGTACAGGGGAGGCGGGTACAGGGGAGGCGGGTACCATCCTTGGGATCATCTGTGAGGTCGTTGAATGTGCGAATGGCTTTGTGGGCCTTCTTGCCAAGCTCGTAGTCCACTATCACCTGGAATAACGTGGCGTGTGTGTGGGGGAGGGAGGGTGGGAAGATGGAAGGTACACAAACCACGTGATGTGACCGTGCCTTGGCCTATCTTGCCCAGCTCGTAGTCCACTATCACCTGGAATAACGTGGTGTGTGTGTGGTAGGGGGGAGCTGGAAGGCACACGGCACATGAAATGTGACCACGTGATGTGACCACGTGATGTGACCACGTGATGTGACCATGTGATGTGACCATGTGATGTGACCACGTGATGTGACCATGGGATGTGAGAGTGCATGGGATGTGGGAGAGCAAAAATAGTCTACCAAACCCTTTCCATCCCGCAACAATCCTGCCACCATCCCTTCACCATCCCTTCACCATCCCCTCACCATCCCTTCACCATCCCTCCACCATCCCCTCACCTGCATTTCAGAGTCAAACTCCACATCCTCCTGCTCTCCCCCTCCCTCTCCCCATCCCTCTCCCGCTACCTCTCCCCTCCCTCTCCACCCCCTCCTCCCACTCCCCCTCCCCCTCCTCCTCCCCCTCCCCCTAGCCCCAACGTCCGCCTCAGCACCCGCATCTCCCGCTGCCACGCGCTCCCCGGCCCCCAGAGCGCGCGGTAGTCCCCCAGCAAGTGCACGCGGTAGAGGCGCGCCAGAGCGAGAAAGAACCCTGGTTCACGCTCGTTGGTGGCGATGTACAGGTGGCAGCCCAGGGGGGCGAGAGAAGGAAGTTTTTGGATCAACCTGAATGAATGGGAGGGGAGGGAGGGCAAGGTAGAGAGGCATGGGGGGTGGGGGCGATGGGAGCAGTGCGCGGAGAAGGGGGGACACTGTGTCGCGCTCCCCGGCCCCCAGAGCGCGCGGTAGTCCCCCAGCAAGTGAACGCGGTAGTGACGCGCGAGAGCGAGGAAGAGCCCCGGCGATGGCGATGACGCCAGGAAGAACCCCTCGCGCTCGTTGGTGGTGATGTACAGGTGGCAGCCCTGGGGGCGAGAGAAGGGAGAGTTTGAATCAGCCTGAAGGAATGGGGATGGGGAGGGGTAGGTCGCGATGGGATGGCGGGAGGAAGGATGATGGTGGACGAGGGGAAACTGAGAAACAACCCCTTGCCGCCATGAAACTTACCATGTCAATCCCAAGAAAAATTGAAGGAAAGAAAGAAAGAAAGAAGGAAAGAAAAATAAAGAAAGAAAGAAAGAAAGAAAGAAAGGAAAATTCCACGGAACGCCTGTGTAAACCAGGGAAACAAAACCTTCTTCCCTAACTTCCAGAATCTCCACAGCAGCTCACTCGGCCTTCTTCACCCTTCCAGCTCCCCTCTCCCCAAGCCAAAAGGCTGGACCATAGCTTTTGGCTTGGGGAGTGGGGAGCTCCCCACTCCCCAAAGCCAAAAGCAAATCAACCCCTAAAACCCCAAGCACCCGTTTACCACCTCTCCCCACTCTCCCTGAACAAAAACACAAACCCTAGAGCTCCAAATCCCGTACGCTTCGGGCCGTGTGTCGCGGTCGAGGTGGGGCCACTTGCGTGGGTCGAGCTTGTCTCCTCTGCGCACGTGCACGTAGAAAAATAGGCCCTCGCCCCCCATGGACGCCACTATAGCGTCTATGATGCCCAGCAACGGTGCTGTTGGGACCAGGATGGACTTGTCTGGGGTTACTGGGTTCTGTGGTTTTGTGAGGGGTGGGGTGGGGTGGGGTGGGGTGGGGTGGGGTGGGATGGAAGAGGGTGGTTTGCAGGTAGTGAAACAGGCTTTCACCCCCCATGGACGCCACTATAGCATCAATGATGCCCAGCAGCGGCGCCGTTGGGACCAGGATGGACTTGTCTGGGGTTACTGGGTTCTGCAGTGGGGCGGGGTTGGGATGGGTGTAGTGACGTGCCAATCAAAGCACGTGCAGGGAGTGAAACTGACCCTCGCCCCACATTGACGCCACTATAGCATCAATGATGCCCAGCAGCGGTGCTGCTGAAATGGGGTGCAGGGTTCTGTGGTGCGGGTGAATTGGGGTGGGGTGGGTGGGTTGGGGTGGCAGGGGGTGGTTTGAGAGTAAACAGAAACTGCGATTTACGTGAGGGGCGGGAACAGCAGAGCGAAAGCGGGAAGAGGATCACGCAGCACGCAGCACGCAGCACGCAGCACGCAACACGCAGCACGCAGCACACAGCACGCAGGTAGCCAAAGGGACCCGTCCCCTCCCCCCCATGGACTCTCAGCAGCGTTGCTGTAGCTTGTAGGGACCAGGATGGAGGGGTCAGGTCAGGAGGCACGCGGCTCTGTGGTGGGGATGAATAGGGGTGGGGTGGGGTGGGGTGGATGAGAGATGATGTGTTGATGGAGAGTTTGGCAAATTATAGTGTGGATTCTGGGGTACTAAACTGCAATTTCTGTGGCGTGTAATCAAGATCGCAAGCTCAGTAAGTTTTACATATATTTACATTATATAAATATGTTTATATATATGTATATATATATTATTTTATTCAATTGGGGTGACAAGGCAGGATACAACCATTTTGATGCACTTTGAAGGGCGTGCAAGTGAGGTTGGGCTTTTGATGTCTGGGCGCCTCAGGAATCAGCTCTCCTCACTGTGCTGTAACGTCCTTTGCAGGTCATGAACCCATACCGCCCCTCCTGCACCTGTTTTCCAGCAAATTACCAGACCTGTGTGAGACCTCCCAACACTCTCAACCACGACGCACCTCACTGTATCTTCCATTGCAAGTCATGAACCCATACCACCCCCCTGCGATGATTTTTCCGGTGCCTCAAGAATCAACTAACCTCAGTATAGCTTCCATTGCAGACCATGAGAGCGTATCGCCCCTCCTGGACCTCCCTCCTTCAGTGAGCCACCAAACAAGCCCCCAGCAACACCAGCCAGCTCGCCGTAACTTCCATTGCAGATCATAAACCCATACCGCCCCTCCTGTGGCTACCTGATCAGCAGGAACACGCCCCTCTCCTGCTGCAGCTAAGACCTGAAACCCCAAAAACCAACCCACAAACCAACCCACAAACCAACCCAAAACCCAAACCCAAAACCCAAAACCCGAATTCCAAACCCGAATTTCAAAACCCAAAACCCGAAACCCGAAACCTCAAGCACATGGAGGCTGAAAGCGCGGACTCACCTCGCTGTAACTCCCGTTGCAGATCATGAATGCGTACCGCCCCTCCTGCGGTTGCCGAATCAGCAGGAACACGCCCCGCTGCTGCTGCAGCTGCTGCGTAGAGTGCCCCTTTCCCACCCCGTGGTACCCTATATCCATGTGGTCCCATGACTTGAACCGCGCAAGGAACGCGGAGAGGGAGATGATTGGCTGGTGGCTGGGGGTGGAGTGGGACGGGGTGGGGTTTAGAATGGTGGGTGAGGTAAGGTAGGGTGGGGGGTGAGATGGGGCGGCGGAGTGGGATGAGTTTCAGACATTTTCAGTCGACCCTACCAGCATTAGCATTGGCAGAAGGGCCATACCAATTCCCAGTTCAGGAACCCGAATCACTCGGAACGGAAAGAGCGGCCATATCAGCAGTGCAATCCTTTTGAGTCGACTCAAAAGTCAACCCAGTTCAGGAAACCCGAATCACTCGGGAATGGGAAGGAGGGCCATATCAGCAGTGCAACACTCCTCGCCCAGTGTAGCCCTTCACCCAGGGAATGGAATCTTTCCATCCCATCCCAGTAATCATAGGTTCATAGCTCATTTGGGTGACTTTTGAGTCGATTCAAAAGTCTCCTCGGCCAGTGTAGCCCTTCACCCAGGGAATGGAATCTATCCATCCCTGTGGACAAGTACAATCATCATAGAACAGCCCCAGGTGCCTCGTCCTCTCTTCCTCATCATCTGTCACTCTCCCCTTCCTTCCCTTTTCCCTCCTCCTCTCCTCCTATCCCTTCCCCCAACCCCCTCCCTCATGATATGCGAGTAGTTATAGTACAACCCCAGGTGCCGCCGCTTCTCACGCCCGGAGAGCGTGTGCTTGGCATTCAGGCACCGCTCAGTCGACAGCACCAGCGTGCGGTTCAGCGCGCGTGCCTCTGCTGCCACGCACGCGAGGCTCTCCAAGAAGTGCGACTGCCCCACGCAGTTGTCTGCTTCGGAGGAGAGAAGGTAAAAGCGCTCCCCGCTGTTGTACGCCTCTCGCACCGCGCTCGCTCCTTCCGGGTCCCATAATTCTCCTCCTGCTGCGGTACCCCTCCCCCTGCTAATCCCCCTCCGGCTGCCCCTGCTGCTGCTGCTGCTGCTGCTGCTCGTCCTCCTTCTCTTCTCTCCTTCTCCTTCGCCTTCGCCTCCTCCTCCTCCTCCTCCTCCTCCTCCTCCTCCTCCTCCTCTCCCTCCTCCTCCTCCTCCTCCTCCTCCTCCTCCTCCTCCTTCTCCTCCTTCTCTTTCATCATGCTGCTGCCCTTTCTGCCTCCCATGATCACCCTCTTGCCTCCCATGCTCACCCTCTTGCCTCTCACGCCGATTCTCCTTCTCTGCTTTCTGTGTGGCGATACGCCCATGCTCCTTCTTCTCTTCCTGCACTTTTCTCTCCTCCTGCTCCTTCCTCTCTTCATGCTCCTTCCTTTCTTCTTCCATCTCCTTCCTCTCTTCCGTCTTCTTCCTCTCGTCCTTCTCCTTCCTGTCTTCATGCTCCTTCCTCTCGTCATGCTCCTTCCTCTCTTCATGCTCCTCCTTTCTTCCTGCTCCTTCTGCTCTTCCTGCTCCTTCCTCTCTTCCTGCGCCTTCCTCTCTTCCTGCTCCTTCCTCTCTTCCTTCTCCTTCCTCTCTTCCTTCTCCTTCCTCTCTTCATGCTCCTTCCTCCTCGCTTCTCCATCTCTTTCTCTCTTCCGTCTCTTCCTCTCCGTCCTTCTTCCGCTCCCCCTTCTCCTTCCTGTCTTCCTGCTCCTTATTCTCTTCCTGCTCTTCCTCACTTCATGTCGCTTCCTCTCTTCATGCTCCTTCTTTTCTTCCTGCTCCTTCTGCTCTTCCTGCTCCTTCCTCTTCTCCTTCCTCTCTTCCTGCTCATTCTCCTCTCCACTCGCACTCACTCCCCCATACTCTCGATCCCTTGCCACCTCTCCTCCCTCCTCCACTCCCCTTTTTCCCCCTTCCTCCGCCTTCTCCTCTCTCCCTTCCACTCCTCTCTCCCTTTCCTCGTCTCCCTCCCCTGTCTTTCCCTCAGAAACTTCCTTCGGCTTTTCTACTTCCTTCGTCTCCCCATAACCATTTCCATCGCTTCCGTCTCCCTCTTTCCCTCTCACCCCCCTCCTCCTCCCCACTGGCCCCTTCTGTCCCTCTGCTATCGCCCTTAACTCCCCCCCCTCCTCCTCACTGACCTTCTCACTCCCCTCTTTCTCACTCCCCTCTTCCTCACTCCCCTCTTTCTTTCTCACTCCCCTCTTTCTCACTCCCCTCTTTCTCACTCCTCACTCCCCTCTTCTCACTCCCCTCTTTCTCACTCCCCTCTTTCTCACTCCCCTCTTTCTCACTCCCCTCTTTCTCACTCCCCTCTTTCTCACTCCCCTCTTTCTCACTCCCCTCTTTCTCACTCCCCTCTTTCTCACTCCCCTCTTTCTCACTCCCCTCTTTCTCACTCCCTCTTTTCTCACTCCCCTCTTTCTCACTCCCCTCTTTCTCACTCCCCTCTTTCTCACTCCCCTCTTTCTCACTCCCCTCTTTCTCACTCACTCCCCTCTTTCTCACTCCCCTCTTTTCCTCACTCCCGCTTCTCACTCCCCTCTTTCTCACTCCCCTCTTTCTCACTCCCCTCTTTCTCACTCCCCTCTTTCTCACTCCCCTCTTTCTCACTCCCCTCTTTCTCACTCTCATCCCCTCTTTCTCACTCCCTCTTTCTCACTCCCCTCTTTCTCACTCACTCCCCCTTTCTCACTCCCCTCTTTCTCACTCCCTCTTTCTCACTCCCCTCTTTCTCACTCCCCTCTTTCTCACTCCCCTCTTCTCACTCCCCTCTTTCTCACTACTCCCCTCTTTCTCACTCCCCCTCTTTCTCACTCCCCTCTTTCTCACTCCCCTCTTTCTCACTCCCCTCTTTCTCTCACCCCCTCTTTCTCACTCCCCTCTTTCTCACTCCCCTCTTTCTCACTCCCCCCCTTTCTCACTCCCCTCTTTCTCACTCCCTCTTTCTCACTCCCCTCTCTTTCTTTTCTCACTCCCCTCTTTCTCACTCCCCTCTTTCTCACTCCCCTCTTTCTCACTCCCCTCTTTCCTCACTCCCCTCTTTCTCACTCCCCTCTTTCTCACTCCCCTCTTTCTCACTCCCCTCTTTCTCACTCCCCTCTTCTCACTCCCTCTTTCTCACTCCCCTGTTCTCTTCCCTCTTTCTCACTCCCCCTCTTTCTCACTCCCCTCTTTCTCACTCCCCTCTTTCTCACCCCCTTTTCTCACTCCCCGCTTTCTTACTCCCCTCTTTCTTACTCCCCTCTTTCTTACTCCCTTCTTTCTTACTCCCCTCTTTCTTACTCCTTCTTTCTCACTCCCCTCTTTCTCACTCCCTCTTTCTTACTACTCCCCTCTTTCTTACTCCCCTCTTTTTCTTACTCCCCTCTTTCTTACTCCCCTTTTCTTCGTACTCCCTTCTTTCTTACTCCCTTCTTTCCCCTTCATCTCTTTCTCATTTCCCACCTCTTGCCCCTTCCTTTCCCCTTGCTCTGCACCCTTCCCTTCGACTTCTCCTCTCAATTCTCCAGAATCCCTTTTTCTATGCTCCCCCTTCTCCTTCCCTTCCTCCATCCCCATCCCCCTCCTCCCCTCCCCTTCCCCCACATCCCCACTCCCCCCTGATTTCCCCGGTCTGCTCGTGGCGCTTCCCCCTGTTCCCCGGTCTGTTCCCCCTATTCCCCCACTTCCATCCCCTTTATCTTCCCCTCCCCCGATCGAGCCATCCCCTCTCGAATCCCCCCTCTTTTCAACGTCCTTTCTCCCCTTTACCACATTCTCTACGAATCCCTCGCTTCCTTCCCCCCTTTCTTCGTCTCGACCTCCGCCTCCCCGCTTTTGCCGCCGCCATTCGCGCCACTCTGCGTACCGCTCTTGGCGGCGCCGCAGCTGCTGCTGTTTTCCACTCCTCGAGCCGCGCCTGACGCTGTTCTAGCTGGCGACTCGACAAGAAGAGATGGATTAAGAGACAAAATAGTCCCCCCTAGACACGCGAGGATCTTGACGCGCAGCTGCGCCATCCGCGCGGAGAAACACCGCGCACGAGCTCATGCGCGGAAATTTGGGCGCTCATGCGCGTGCTAGCGTGGCCCCTAAGAGAAAACCCAGCGCACTACACCCCCTCTTTCTCGCTACTGACATCTTATGTACGAACAGGGACGGGTTGTAGAATCTCAACGCATCCATGAAGGTGCTAATCACACACGGTATAGTCACACTTGTATGAATCAATCGTCGTTCTGCCTGTAGGAATGGTGGAATTGAAATCTCGGGCCTGTGCAGTTTGTGGCGTGGTGCGTTTTTTGTCCGCAACTCCCAAGGTTCGGTTTACTGTATGCCAGCAGCGCGCCAAATCCAAGAACTGTAGAGGTGGTGTTTGCGTTGTGAGAGGGAGGAGGGGGAGGGGTGTACAGTAGCTAGCAGCTGGTTCGACATGGATGGCAGATTTTAGTCCAACATGGTCGGTCCTACTTTGTACCCGATAAACGAAAGTGGCCCTTTTCCATCATAGAGAAACCCCAAGTGGAACTAAATCTGTTTTGCTTACTCTAAGAGGTAAACGACGCCTATGTGCCCTGTTTTGTTCCTTTCCCATGCATAAAAACGCAAATAATTTTATTGCCTTTCATGCAGGTGGCCGTACTGTAAAGTACCGATTAAGAAACTTTACTATCCAGGCGTGTACTGTATACCACGAATCACACTTTCCTCTTACGCTCAGTTGTCAGATTCCTTAGGGAGTACAGGTTCACTTTGGCAGCAGGTACGTGCCACACCTGTTACCATACCTATTTCAAACCAACCAACCGAACCCGAGGCGGAGTTCATAGGGGGGATCAGTCAGTACAGTACTGATCCTCCGTTAGTAGCAGCGAACTCACAGTCACACTCAGAGCAGTCGGTTTCTACAGAAGATCAATCGTCATTGATTCAAGGCTATTGCAGCTGGCAACTACTGAACGGCGGGAACAAGGCAGCAGAACCACCTGCGACAATGGTTTGTGCGAGAATTTCGATAAGCTGGCTGTCGAATCCGCGTTCTATGGCGGTGACAAGTAGACATATATCTAGAAACTTGCTGCTGCAGCGACAATTTTTAGCCAACTGCCCACAGCACACTGCCTGTAGCGATTAATATTCCTGCTGCTTTCTGTCCCCGCGACCATCTGTCCTTTCTAACTAGGGTCACAGTGAGGTTGCTGGGGACTCGCGTCAAAGAGCCGTGAGTGCTTTTAAAGACATCAGCAGCGGGAGCCGTCACACTACCGTGACGGCAGACAGTGGTGTTAGCAAGACCAGTAACAGCAGCAACCTCTCTCCCAGCCGTAGCGAAGGACACGCCTCAAACCCCCCTGTAACGAAATCTTTGCCTATTACGCCATGAAGATTTCGAATAGACGCATCACCGTCCCCCTACTTTCCTGCTCTCTGATCACCCTTTTCTCCTTCCTCCTCATCCTCCTCCTCCTCCGGGACCCTCGAGCTTGCCGCGCTCCGGGACAACAGCCCTTCTCCGTTTCAACGCGGGCAGGCCCACAGCTCTCC